GTGATATCGCTGCGCTTCAACAACAACTTTATTGGGAGCGCAGGGCCGATCATGCGCCCGCGGGGCTGAAAAGCCAGTTCCCAAGGCAACAGGCGGGGCCGGCCTGGCTCCCCACCAACGTGGAAGCGCACGGACTTGAAATTAAACCCCTCCCTCGGGGAGCCATAGTATTATTTAAAGGCCACAGTTTTATTCCCATTTCTGCTATCTAACTAGTGGCCACCTTGGGTCCACCATGTCATCTCTCTGCCCTTCAGTTCACTCATCTGTAAAATGAGGTGCTGGGCTTGTCTAAGGCCTTGCCCAGCTGTGCCTTCTATGATCTAGCCTGTCTCAGCCCAGGTTAGAGAGACCAAGCTCTTCAGCATCTTTCTCCTTTTCCTAGCTCTCTTCCCCAGCTCAGATTTTAGGTGACACATTGAGTCCACACCTTGCTTCAGTATGTAAGATTTGTAACCTTCCTTATCCTGTTCCAAATGGGTCCTTTCCCCACAGTCTGGCAAAAAAGGGGTGTCTCGTTGGTAAGAGAGCCAAAAAAGGGAGGAGGTGAACCCTCCACAAGGGCCACGGAAACAAGTATGTTTGGTTGGTTTCCCTTGAGGTGTGTCTCCAGTGTCTGTGACAGTGCCAGGCACACAGAAGGGACCAAATAAACCTCATTGACTGACTGAACAAAACATGGCAGTAAATGAAGGTCAGTTCTTCCATCAATTCTGTGCAACCCAGACTTCTTTGACTCTCTCTTCCCCATCCCCACCCTCAATCTTCTGCCCCAACCACACTGTAAAGGAAGAGGGACTGTTTAATACTCCCAATTTTAGTACCCAGTGGCTGAGCTGTGTGATTTCCAATTTGTGACTGGAGCCTCGGTTGTTCCGGGAAGCCCTCTGGGGAGTCACCAGATCCAGGACCAGCTGGGTACATCATAACATTGAAAGGCTGAAAAGAGGAAGAAGGAGAGTCAGTGTTGTGGTCTTCCCACTCTCTTCCCTTAGCTCTAGAGGCAGTGCCTGCCTTCAGGCAACAGCACTCCTGCATTAGCCTGAGATGGAGCAGAGGCCCCAGGGGCAATCTGAAGGTTCAGAAGCCTGTTAGAAACTAGCAGGTAAATGTCAGCTCTACCTAAGGAGCCCCCAAAGTCAGATCAACTGTCTTGATGTGGCTTAAATAAACCTTCCTTGTATGTCCTTCCATTTTGTCCCAATAGTTACCCAGAAGTCCAAGTTCCAAATCAGATCCTAAATCAAGGAACTTATCTAGAGACCAGGTTTTGCAAAATGATGGTTCCCTTAACACTTGAAAATGTTTTTAAAATATAACTTCCTAGGCCCTAATTCCAGGATTCTGATTCTATGCATCAGGGATGGGGACACTTAAAGACTCACCAAGTTACCCTGGTGTACAGTTCTCTGCTAAAGGACCTACCCTCCGCTGGGCTGTTTAGTGTACATGCGGTCAAAATGCATCAGGCCAACTGATGCCATGTGGTTTCAGAGGCTTTTCCTGAGGCCAGTTAAGCCAGGCTGACTTCCTTCCGTTTCCTCATCGGCTATGTTGGAAATGATCACAAGCTACGGAGTTAGACCCACTGAGTTCAGATCCTGGCTCTGCAGCTTCCTACCTGAGGAGTTACCTAACGTCTTGGGGCCTCAGTTTCCTCACCTTGCCCAAAAGAGAGTAAGCTCTCAGTGTTTACTATTGTATTTTTTTGAATTTAGTCCAAAAACAGCTCTGGCTACAGCTAATGTAGTGTCATCTTCCAGAATCCTTGGCAGAAATTAAGGCCTTCCAAACCGTAATGTGGCACTGCTAAGCAAGCCAGTAACTGCAGGTCCAAGGAGACTTGTTCAGGAGAAGCTCAGCCTCAGGCTTCACCAGTCAGAGGAAAATTACAAGTATAATCTGCACCATCTGCAGCCACATCATGTCAGAAATATTCCAAGAAGAGACCGAATGAGCCCCTGAATTCATCCCAGCTGTGATCACAGTACAGGCAATGATAAACATCTGCCTCTACCACTGATGGTTTCAAGGATGCAGAACCTACCTACTGGGACCAGTAGGTTTTGCAATACTTTGATGGATTTAAAATGTTCTTTCAGAGGGAAATTTCCTGTATATAGGAAATTTAAGCCCTTGAGGGTTCAAATTTTGCTTATGCTAACAGACATGTATGGAAGTTCAACATGGTGGCTGCTTTTATTAATTTATTAGTTAAACATGTGTAATATACAGGGTAGTGTCATGCTTCCTTCAGGATTGCAGAGGCTGCTGACCAAAGCCTAGAGCAATGCTGCCCAAGATAAGTATATTGTGAACCACATATGTGATTTTAAATTTTCTAATAGCCTCATTTAAAAGGGAAAAAAATGCAGGTGAAATTAATTATAACATGTTTTATTTAACCCCATATATTAAAAATTTTAGTATTTTAGCATGTCATAAATTTTTTTTTTACTGCAGGACACTGCAGTTAGGTTTATTCCAGAGAAAGTGTGTGCCCAATCAATATTTTAAAATGAGATATTTTGGGTTTTTTTCTTCTTTTGTACCAAGTCTTTGAAATCCATTGTTTTGTTTCACGTGGACAGCAACCTCAATTCATACTAACCACATTTCACGTGCTCAATGGCTATAAGGGGCTAGTGGCTGCCATGTTGAACTTATGCAGGTATAGAGGCCTCAAACAGCCACTCAGATAGGATAGGCTGAAAAGAATTGCCTATGTTCAACTTTTATGGTAACCTGAGACCCATTCACTCCTAGTAACAGGTTACTGGTAATTCCTAGTAATCACATACTCAGAGTAACATTACCAGAATGTGCAGGATTGGTCTGAGTTGATGCAGTCATTCATTCATTCACTGATTCATGCATTCATGTAGTCATTAGAGATTTATCAAGTGGTCTTCACTGTTTACCCCAACTTCACCCTGGTCTTTTCTTGACCTCGGGCCGAATCCTCCTCCTTCTTTCAAGACTCTAGCCCTGAATTCACAGTCTTCTCCAACTCAAGTCCTCCCACCACCAAAGTGGATAAGCCATCCCAAATCCTAGGAATGCCACCACCTCCTCATGACTTCATTCCCACTGTACTTCAGACACCCCTCATGTGTCATTACTGGGTACTGCACCACTTCTAAAATCACACATTCACACACCCACTCTGATGGATCACCTCATGGCTTTCTGCCTCTCTTTCACTTCTGCATCATCTTTACCCCATCAAACCCTTGAGTTCTCTATTCTGTCCTCAAACTTCCCTTCAGTCATCATTTTTTTCTCTATCCGACGTGGAATCCGCATCAGCCATTTTTCAAATCATTCTCTTCCTAATATCAACTCTCTTGCCCACTGTTCTCTGCCTAGGTCAGTAAAGCCGTTCTCCTTCTTGGCTCTTATATCTGGGCTGCTGAGCACCAGTGAATAAAATTACCAACCACACGGACTGGAGCTATTAGTGTGCTGGTCTCCAAACTCACTTCAGCCCTCCCAGCAATCCAGTGTCCTTAATTAGCTTTCTCTCCTATTTTGGCCATTCTTTTCAAACTTGCTGTTCTATTGCCTCCCTTTCCTTGCTCTTTGAAGATCAGCTCCCTACCAACCTTAAAGAAAAATGTAGAACCACTGAATGAACACTCTCTGCTCTTTGTTGCCACATCAACACACACCAGCATCAATAACCACCTTTTCCTCTTTCCCTTCCAACACAGTGGCTAACCGCTCCACCATGCCTGGGATCCCTCATTCTTGCCTCCTCAGAGTGTGCTCCTTCTGCTCATCCCTGACTCCTTCCCATCAACATTTAAATGTGCTCCAGTTATTCCTTGATTATGAAACCATCTTCCCTCAGACCACGTCACCCTCCAGTCATCCCTCCATCTCCCCACCTCTCCTTTACAGCCAAGCTTTTTGGAAGAGTTGTCTGTTCCTGCTGCCTACTCCCTCACCTCTCATTTATCCTCATTCCACTGAAATACAGCTTCCACCCTCATCACTCCACTCACACTTTCCTCACCAAAGTTCCCAGTGCCTCCCTTGTTGATAAATGCAATGGACACTCTCCAGGCTTTATTATTTCTTGAATATCCCCTAATTTTGCATAATCCCCACCCCTTCCAAGATTCTCTTCCCTTGATTTCTGTGACATTCTTGTTTTCCTTCCAACTCTGTGGACATATTTTCCTAGTACCTTTTATTTCTCTTCCTCTGAACACCTCCCATTCAACAATGTAGTTCCTAGGATTTCAATCATGGCCTCTCTCCTTTAATGTGCCTCTTCGGGAAGTTTTCCCACTCCAGTGGCTTCAACTACCATCCATATACAGACAACTCACACATCTACATCTACATTTTTAACACTTTTCTTAGGCCACAGACCCATAAATCCTTCTGCCGATGGACCTCTCCAATGGATATCCCAGAGGAACCTCAAAGACTTAACATACACAAAGTTGGGCTTACCACCTTCCCACAACCATCTGCCAAAAAATTATTGCCCCAGCTCCTCCATTCTCTTTTTTTATGGATGGCACAATCATCTATCAAGTTATCCTGGCCTCCTGCACTTGCATCCCCCCTTTTACTTTCCCATCTGATCTATCCCCAAGCCCAGGTGGTTTTGGCCTTCTTTATCTTTATCTAGTCAGTCCATTTCATCCCTACAGGCACTCCTGTTGATCCTCTTCCTGACCTCAATCCACTTTCCGCACTGCAGCCAGAGCAATCTTTCTACCATGCAAATCATGTCAGGCCACCCTGCTGCTTGAAACCTCTCTGCAAACCCCCACTATTCCTAAAATACAGGTCAACCCCTGAGCCCTTCATTATTATCCTCTGCTCACCTTCCATCTCATTTCTCAACCCTACCTTCCCACCACAGCTCTCCCTGCAGAGTCACGCTCCAGCCTTGCTAACCTACCTGAGATTCTAAAATACTGTGGGAACTTTTATATGCTTTTTGTTTTTCAGCCTCAGATAACTCTCCTTCCCCACTAGGTCCATGTCATCCACCTGCCTTCACCTGGTTACTGCCTAACGGACCTTCCAGTCTCAGCCTAGACATTCCTTCCTCAAGGAAGCATTCCCAGAAGTCCATTCCCAACCCATTCACAGACATATCACTGTCTGCAGTCTGGACCAGAAGCCTCCTCCTATTTGCTGCTGCGGCATCCTCATTTACTCTGGCTCAACACTGTCACTGTTTACTCATCAGTATCTCTTAGTAAACTGTATAGTTTCCGAGGTTCAGCATTCTCCCCCCAAGGTATTCAATACATTGAATGAATGAATGAGTGAATGAATGGAAAATCCTTCTTCCTGAAGAGCTTCAGTTTCATAAGGAAACTAAGCATAATAAAATCCAAACTTGCAAAAGTGGACCCATAATGGGGAATTTCTTTGCATTTTCCGAAGATTTTTGCTTTACAAAATAATTCTGAAAGTGCCTTTCTTTCAAAGATTGCCCCCTATATTTGAAATCAGACTTGATTTACAACTATCATTTAAAGAAAAACAGCCCCTGCATAAAATTGGTTATTGTTACACCTAATAATAATGGCATCTGCTTCTCTCTTTGATGGAGCTTCCTCATCTTGCCTCCTAGCATGGTTTCTGCCAGCTTTCTTTCTTTGATTCTTTCCTCTCCTTTCTTTCCCTTGGAGAATTAGGCTCTTCAGGAATTATCTCATGCTAATGGCCATCAAATACAAGAGTACATCTTTTCCCTAAAGTGCCAAATAGGAAATGTTTTTGGCTTTGCAGGCCATGGGTCTCTCTCTGTAGCAACTGCTCGACTTTGCCATTGTAGCGTGAAAGTGGCCACAGAAGTACCTAAATGAGTGATCATGGCTGTGTTTCAACAAAACTTTATTTACAAAAACAAGCAGTGGACCAGACTTGATCTTCAGACTGTAGTTTGTTTGCCAGCTCCTAAAATACATAACTAAGGGCAGACCCTTCTGAACCACAAACAGCAGTTGCCCTGTGTAAGGAGCAACCTTTCATGGTCAATGAATAGTACGTGGGTCAATGTAGAGAGGCAGCAGACAGAGTGACTTCACTTATATCCCAGGTTTACCACTTTGTAGCTGTGTGACCTTGGGCCAGTTACTTAACCTCTCTGTGTTCAGTTTCCTTATCTATAAAATGGGAATTAAAAATTATCTCATAATAGTTGTCAGACAATTTAAATATGTTAATACATGTAAGGCCACACAATAGTGCCTGCACTTACAGGTGCTGTATAAATTATACCTGATAGAATAGTAAAGGGTCCCTCTGCTATGATCCCTACTAGCAGACATTAGGTATTATAACAAGCATATTAGCAAGAAAAAAGGAAATGGTCATTCTATTAGTATTTGACCATACCTTGCCCCAGGTAACATTCTCTTTGACTCATTTCAAGTTAAAATCACAGCTCCCTCATCCCAAGACTGACTCAGATCGTTTATTTGAACAGGAACTCTGACAAAAGTATTTGCTCAGGACCCTCACAACCTAGGTGTGGCCCTGTCAGCTTCTTTTTCTTGTACACTCATTGAAAGGTCCAAGTCTTAATCACGCCTACATCCCTCCCCACAATGGAGCTTATCTTAGTGCATTGTACATAATAGATGCTCCAAGAATATTTTTCAGAATGAATGCCAGAAGGAATGAGTAATGTCTCAGGTTTACATATTTCTTTTGATCCAAGGTTTTAACTATGTTTTCCCTACACGTATTCCCAGATCTTCATCATTTTTCTGAGTGACAAAGAGGGATTTTCATGTCCCCAAGCCCTTCCGTCACTGACCTGCCCGTTGATGTGCTGATAGCTTATCAAGAAGGAACAAACACGCCTCCAGATTCTCTTGACAGTAAACTGCAAGTGAACTTCAACTCCAAGACATGTGAAAACAGCCAAGCATGGGAATGATGGTTGAGTGGTTTCAAGTTAGGCAGCCTGGTAGTTTGAACAATGCTTTGGCTGCAACAAATTGTAGTGACAGAACATATGTTTGTCGTGCTTTGCTTTTGATCTTCTGCTCCAAGGTTGAGGGTACTCTCTCAAGGGGGAAGGAAAAAAGCAAGAAGAACTGGGAAAAAGAAAACTGATCTCACCCATCACTGAAATATTTTGTACCTGAAGCACAACCACCCTGAGAGAAGAACATGGTGGCGGCTCTTCATAGTCACCTGATTAAGGGGCTTGGGTTTGGTCCTGACTCAGAGGGAAATACAACGCCACTGAGAGGTTCTCCCACAGCACCTGAGCCCTCACAGCCAAGCCTGGGCTTGGCCCCAGTGGACATAAGAGAAAAGATGACTGCCAGAGCCCCCAGGAGGGTGGGAGGCTTGCTGTTGCCAGATCCACCCACGTGGATCACAATGAGTGCATGAGGTCATGGAATGTTAAAGATGAAATGAAAGTGGGTCCTAAGTCATAAAGTCGCAGGTGGGTGGGCATCCTTTTGACAGGGCTCCCAGAAGTAGAGCTATACCTCTCTCCCTGATGATCCTGGGAAGGAGCTACATCTCCCAGACAGAGTTGGGGTCAAGTCCAGGCATATCCCACCAAAGCCCACTCTCCCCAGGGCTTGCTGGGATGGAAGGATAACTACAGGCCCCCCTGGGATTTGTCTAGGTGAGGGCAGGGTACACAAAGTTTGAAACAGAGGTGAATGGACAGGTGTGCTTGTTAGGGAAGAAGCAGAAAGGTGGCAAGAAGCTGGCAGCAGTCCCTGAGAGGGCCCTGGCACCATGGACAATGATGAACTTCTTGAGCCTGAGACTAAAGGTGAAAAGGCATCCCATTTCTCACCACTCAGGCCCTTCCGGCTGCCTCAGTGTAATGCCCGGTGACCACATGGACCTTAAAGCCCCCTTCCCTCCTTTCCTGGGACCCTCTAGAATTGGGTGATGCATTACATTGACTTGGCTCAGGGCTTGCCAAATAGAGAGTGAGAGAGTTGGATGAAATGCTGTGCTGGAATTGGCTCATACCAGCTCTGGCTGATTTTAATTTTCATTCTGTGAGTTGATCAATGTCATGCTGGCAGTTGGAAATTAGCCATGTTTGGAATATTTGCACCACTTGAATTGGCTAACACTACAAATCAGGATTGTTTTTTCCTGGAGAGCCAGTTAAACATTACCAACATTCCACTGGTTGGATGGAATCCTAAAATTACTGATCTGATGAGGATATTAAGGCATCATTTTTTGATGGCTGTGTTTGATGGTTAAGCTGATGTATGTCTTCTGTCAGACCACTGTTACTTCCACCCCTTATCATGCAGACTTTGTCTTAGAGGCTGGAAAATAAATGTTGGAGCTTGGGTCTATGGACAAAAGCTGAGAAAGACACAGACCTATGTGGACTCATTAGTAACCCCACTATCAGAACCTGGGTGGTCAGAACTTGGGACCCCTGGCACCAGTGCTCAGCCCACCCAAAGAGGAGTTTGGTTAAATTCAGACAGGCCACCTGGTGGTGCAGCATGGCCTCCCCAAACCATTGCATCCTGCCGATGTGGGAGGTCTAGTTCTAGACATTTGTGTGTAACTTTCAGGAGTCCAGGGCTGGTTCCAGAACAATATCCCAATGGCAGAAAAATCATATCTAGCAAGTGCAGGGGACTGATGTGAAAGAAGCCCAGGACACATATATTTAATCAATTTCAACCCTAGGGAGATTTTGCAAGCCCTTCCTTCCTTCTGCATGGTCATAAATTTGGATTGGAAGGAAGAGAAACTAGGTCAAAATCTTGGGAATCAAGTTATCCCTTGCTCCCTGGGACTGCTCCTGTTCCACTTATATTGTGTTTGACCCAAGTCACCTGCCCTGCTCCTTGCCCTCCCCAGCATCATCCATGCCTGCCATTGAGGATGCTTCAGCATCACACACATCCTTTCCCTGAAAGAGTACAGCAGACCCTGAACCCCACCCAAACCAATAGAATGGAAAAGAAGGAGCAAAGATCCAACGTCCAAGGCAGGCTCAACACAGGGGATGGGGCAGGAGCAAGTCTCCAGAGAACACAAGGCAGGTTTAGCCCAAGATGATTTAGGTAGGAGGCAGCTCTGCGTCAGGGAAGGAGGGCTTATAGAGCGGAGTCCCTCCTGGCAGGGTTGACGCTCACTGCAGTTCCTTGGCACCTTGAGCTATGTGCGGTTGGGGGACAAAGGCTACAGCCAGGACCCAGGTCACAGACAGAATCACAAAACAGAGGCATAGGGCGGCCAGTGGTGGGCTCCACCTGAAAGGCTGGCAGGTTTCCTCTCCAGAATCAAGGAGATGAATTTTTCTTCCAGATGACAGCGACACTGTATCAGCCCCGCAGAGCAGTGACGAAACACTCTACTGTGAGGCTGAAGACTCCGCAGCTGTCGAGAAAGAGAAACCAGCTTGGGAGAGCTCAGAAACAGACCTTGAGATTGAAGGTGAGCGTTGGCCTTTGGAGGGTGGAGGGTCGCTTGCTTCCTTCCTCAGAGGCTGGAGAGACCTGGTTTCCCCAGATGGCCGTGGCTCTGTCCGGCAGGACATGCCTTGGAGGGAATGCAGCAGAACCGCCTGAGCTCAATTTTATGCCACACCCTTCTCCAGTCTGGCCCAGTGGCAGCAACCGCTGCTGCCCCATGCTCATGACCGGCCTGGTGAGCAGAGGGATCGTGCTGGCTTGTTGAAAGCTGGACCAAGAGATGAACGGGGATTTCCGGTGTTCTGGATGTTTCCACATGTGGCATCTTATGTCACTTTTGCAATCATCCCAGGAGGTAGACATTCCCTGTCTTTCACAAAGGAGGAAACTGAGGTTTAGGAAGATTGTGAGTTGTCCAAGGCCACCAAGAGCTCGCCGGTGTCCGTTTATCCCGTGTTCGCCCCACCTTGTCGATCTGTCTTCCATATTCCATATTCCAGGAGCTCCTGGAGTGGTTGTGGCCCATCTTGCATCCTGGTAACTTTCCTCTACTGACATTAGAGTTATTTCCCCTATTTGAGAGCCCCATATTTTCCGTCAATGAATCCAAGCATGCCTGGGTGTGGGGAGTGGGTGCTGGCTGGGCTGGAGAAAAGACTCCTTTATTGCAAACAACATCTCCACCCTTTCCTCCCTCCTAGTTTCCTCGAGGCCATGATGGCCCCGCTTGATGGGTTAGCCTCATACTTCCCCGGGCTGAGGCAACCCAGGGACCCTTCTCTCCTGTGTTCAGGCACTGGGTGGTGGGCCATGATCAGAGGCAGCAGAAATGGAGGGCAGGTTGTTCTGCCAAATTCAGCTGTGTCGCTCGGCCTACAACTGCACACTCAGCACAGACCTCCTGCCTGTCACCTACTGGCGATCCTCGTGTTCCTTTTCTAGCTCCTTTTCTTCTTCAAGGTTGCCGCTGTTGTTGCTTTCAACACCGAATTTTACCAGGTAGAAGGGGTGGCAGATAGAAACACAGGATGTTTTGTCCCAGACTCCTGCTTCTATCTGGAGATAATTGGTTTCCCCAGTCGGCCATGGCTCTGCCTGGCGGGATGTGCTGTGGAGGGAATGCAGCAGAGATGTCTGTGCTCAATTTTATGCTAAATATTCTGCATTACCCAGGATAGCCCCTCACAACAGAGAATTATCCAACTCAATTGTCTAGTTTGCCGAGGGTGGAAAGACCTGATCTACAACCATCCCGAGGAGCAGGCCAGTTTGTTGCTGTGCCTGCAAAATCAGCTTCCTTGCAGAGATGTCCTTTCACCAACAAAGCTCTCATTGTCCGCCTTAGAAATGTTTGGGGTGGGTTGGCCAAAGGCCCAGGGATCTGAAGGAAAAACAGATGCTGGCTTAGACCCGCCTGCTCATGGGAAGCCCTGCGTCGATGGAGTTTGCTTAATAAGGACGCGGCTGTGGGGCATCCAGAATCGAGGGAGGGCCACCGCCCAGTGAGCATGAGCCAGGCTGGTCTAAAGCCCAAAGAACAAAGGCCCCTAAGAGGCTGGAACGGAGAGGTAAAGCCGCCACTCTGTTTGCCGGTTTAAGCACTGATCAGCTGTGTGTCTGTCATTAGTAAAGCAGGGGTGGACAGTCCTTTTTGTGGGGAAAGTGACATGCAAGTCTCTGAAAGAAGCAAACCCACTCAAATGCAAGTGTGTTTGTTTCCGACTGATCTGGGGGTCTCTCCATCTTGTACTGATTTGCCACCTTCGGAAGCCCACTCTGTCCTACTTGGGCTTTTTCTAGTTGGTACTTCTCTACATCTTTCATGAAACTTTGATTATGGCTCACATTTTAACAGTGGGAGTGAAACAGAAACTACAGTGGAGGCTCCCTCCCTCAACCATCACAAACCCCAGCTTTTTGTCTGGTTGGCCCTTCAGGGCTGTCTGGAGGTAGGGAAGGGTGTGATCACACCTCCCTGTGGCCAGTCACTGGATGCAGCCAACCTGGGAAGGTGGGGGTGGGGCACACTGTACCTCCTCAGTAGCTTGGGGCCAAAAACCAGAGGCCTTCTCTCTAACCCAAAGGGAGACATCCATATGAGGCTTTCTGGAGTTAGGGTCTCCCACCACTGGCTGATTTTCCAATTAAAGCTGGAACATAGGGACAGACCCTCAGACAGAGGAGACACCAGTCAGAATCGAATGTGGTCTGGGATAGCAGGGAGATAAGGCAACGGTAGAAGAGAAACTCCACTTCATCCACCTGCATCTTTTTCTGCAGATACCGATAAACTTTTCACCACCGGACAAAGGGAGCTGTACCTAGAGGCCTGCAAACTGGTGGGCGTTGTGCCTGTCTCCTACTTCCTCCGGAACATGGAGGGGTCCTACGTGAACCTCAATCACCACGGGCTGGGCCCCAACGGCACGAAGGCTATTGCTATAGCCCTGGTGGTGAGCATGCCAGCAGGGGCTCGTGAAGCCTGGCAGAGGTGGGGGCTTGACAGGGTGCTGGGTCCAAGAGTCAGAGAGCCCCTCCATGGGACCCTGAATTGCAACCTCTACACCCACCTTGCCCTAGGCTCTGCCTGACTGCCGGCTGATTTACCCAACTGGCATGGACACCCCGTTAGCTCTTGGGAAGGAGGCTCCTAGAGACCCGAATCTTGAAAATCTATGCTCTTTCCTATTCAGGATGCAAAAGCACCAGCCTGTAGGCCCTGGAAAAGTGACCGGTCTGGGCTTCGACCCAAATGCTCATGCGAGAACACAGCACAAAACATCAGCCACCTGGGTCTCGGTTCCAAAGTTCACCTTTGCCATAAATGGGTTCACTACTGAGCCATTCCATTTGATGCCTGCCCTTTGCAATATTATATGCAGTTCTTCAAGATCTCACTGGAGAGTGGATCATGTTCTCCCACAGGAATAATGTTCTCTCTCGTTGGCATGAGCGAACAAGGACTTGACCTTGAACTCCCCATAACTTTCTATAGTTATAATTCATTGTATACAAAACTGACTCTCATCACAGGAAAACACAAAATTTAACGAGTGTGTGTCAGCACGACACTGTTCACTTAGGACAGTAAAGAAAAAGCTCGATTTTGTTTTTTAAAGCACTCACTTTTGGAACTCTAACTGCATTTGCACTGAGCACATACGCATTAAGAAATTACATGACGTGAGACTGGGCTGCTCTCTGGGGAGGGAGAGGAAAGGGAGGGAAGAGCAGAGAAAGAACAAAGCCATCTTGAAATTCATGGAGCGTTGAAAGACTGATTAATGAACTGTTAGAGATGTGCCATCACCTCGTAGCTCCATGGAAGAAAATGGATAATAATGAAATTCTCTCAGGATTCGGGCCACTTGTCTCTGAGTAACAGCAGTTTCTGGTTAGGGGGAGTTTTTCTTCTCCGATTCTCTGTAGCGCTCATTTGACAATTAATCATTGTGACATTCTGGTGGACTGAACTCTTCTTTATCTTGGGTACTGTTTAGCTTCTAACTTAGAGGAAGAACACCCTGTAGGCCAGAAGACAATTCATGGAGGCCCTGGGGGACCATTCTGCATCACAATAGCTCACACTATCACAATTTCACCTTGCCTGGAGCGAGAGCCCCTACCACTTGCTACTTCTTTCACTGCTTTGAAAATGCTCAAACCCAAAGATGCATCTGTTCTCTATGCCTTTCTGCACAGGGAATGAAGCGGGGAAGGAAAGGACAAAAGTTCTGGGTAGAGCTAACCCCAGTCCCTCATGCTGCAATGCCAGTCATTTCCACCTGTCTTGCTTCTTGTGGAAATGCAGACTAGCCTGCATATAGACATTTATTTAACATTTACGTTCAGCTCCTTCTTAACAGCCTTGAGGCAGCATCCTGGCTATAAGAGGGAACCAGGTAAGCCTTAAGCCTAAGCTAGAAGAAAGGCCTCTGACGGAAACAGTCATCATAAATGCTTTCTGCTTAAATATCCTTATTAAATGTATCACGTTCTCCTCAGTCTTGGAGTAGTTTCACAGTCCTCTCTCCTCGAGGCTAAATAATTAAAATCTACTCAGCTCAACCTGTGCCTCATCCTTTTCAGGGCTTTATTTTTAGTTCCTCTTCTAAATCCCCCTCGAAACCCTTTTAGGGGAGGTGCCCAGAATAAGCACATCGTCCTAGCAAAACTGACTGGGATGGCTCGTCCCCTGTGCTAGTCTCCTGTTCCTATCCACTCTTCCAGAATTGCTAGCCTGCATCTCTGTACCCTCTGACATGACAAGGACGTTCAGGAGAGGTCATGGGTTCCGGGCAAGGGCAGGGAACTGACTGCAACCACCTCTGTCTTTCTCCCCTCCCCTGGTGGTGGCTGAAGTCCAACACGACTGTTCTCACGCTGGAGCTGGCAGACAACTCTATCATGGAGGAGGGCATCCTGAGCCTGGTGGAGATGCTACAAGAGAACTACTACCTCCAGGAGATGGTACTGTGCCCTGCTCTGCCAGTTCCTACCACCACGCCTGGGGTCTCAGAACTCTCTTGAGACAAGCCAGAACCCCTGCCAGAGCCCAGACCAGCCTTCAGGCTTTCTGCAGTCAATCCGGGGGCTCCTCTCCCCTAGAGGTGACATCTCAGAGGAGAGCCACACGTAAGAGCTTAGCCAGGGACACTGTGTTCCCTGTGACTCTAGGAAACCCTAAGAAACCATTTTTGTCTGGACCTCATAAGCCCCTAACTGAACTTACTTCTTTAGTGTTGCCTGAAAGTTAACTTTCTTAAAGAAAATAAAGACACGAAATAATTTCATAAAACACAACGTGCCTGGGGACAGATGATGGTGATGGTTGCCCAACAGTGGGAGTGTACTTAAGACTACTAAACTGTACACTTAAAAAGGGTTCAGATGGTAAATGTGTTATGTCTATTTTACTACAATTTTAAAATTTAAAAAACAGAAGAGCAAAGGCAATGAAGATAATTATGGCTGGTTTATAGAAAGTCCCTCCCACTAGCCTGAAAGGACAATGTCCATTTGTCTCCTTCCTTCCGGGCAGTGATGCAGGCTTTGTGAACCAATGAAGGGAATTACAATGATTGCTTACTCTAAACTCATTTTTCAATTGCTTCATGCAAAATCCTGCAAATAAAACTGTCTTGGATTTTCCAAAAAAAAAAAAAAAAAGGCTTATCCAAAATACCAAGGCTAAACTGGGGAGGTAGGGAGAGAAAACTGAGACTAGCCCAAGGGCCTCACCCTGAGGCCTTAGGAAAGCTAGTGTTCCTGTCTTCTTCTCCCCTTTGTACCACCTTAACCCCTCCCCTCCTTTCCTCCCAGCCCTGTTGTCCCCATCCCACCCCACCCCCTCAGTGCCAGCCTCAAATAAGAACCCTCATCACTTATTTGTTAAAGAGGGTCCTTTGGTGGGTTTTTTTCATAATACATAAATGTTCTCTTGCCTTTTAGAATATTTCTGACAATAATCTTGGTTTGGAGGGGGCCAGAATCCTCTCAGAGTTTCTCCAGAATGACACCTCTTCCATCTTTAGTCTTCAGCTCTCAGGTGAGCCCTTGGAGGAGGAGGGAGAGGTCATTGGGAATGAAAGAGAGAAAAGGGTCAGAGCAGAGATACTGAGGGTCTAATTGAACCATACCAGGTCCTGCTGATTTCAGAGACCAGAACACTGCGTCGACACCCAGCTAGACTCTTCCAGCCATCCTCACCCCCTCTCCACTGCCACACTGACTTCCCAGCTGCCCTGGACAAGCAACTTCTGATTCCCTTCGCAACAGTCCTACCTCTGCTTGAAAGTCTACACCCCAGATACCTGCATGGCTCACTCTCACCCTTCGTTCACGTCTCTGCTCATGGGTCATCTCCTTAGAGGGACTTATCTGACCTATCAAAGCAGCACCTCTCCATCACCACCATTCCCCATCCTGTTTCCCTTCCTGGTTTTTCTTAACAGCACTTACTACCTGACCCCCTATTGTATGACTAATTTTTAGTTTATTATGTCTCTCTCAGAAAAAAATGGTCACTTGAGAATTCTAGTACCCAGAGCCCTGCCCTCACTCAGGTTTGTGGTTTGAATTTATACTATCAGCAGGGTCCTTGAACCCCTATGGCAAGAATTGAACATAAAAAGTAGTCCTATGCTGATAACACCTTGGGACATGCAATAGAAACAAATATAAACTTCTTTGGAGGAACTCCAAGCTGTTTAGGATTCCCACAGATGAAGCTCCATTAAAGATGGGCTCACAATCCAAAATTGCAAAACAAGGAAACAAAACACCATGAGAGTTGTTAGACTCAACAAGTGGCAGCATGGGGCCCTCAAGAACTTCAGGAAATAGAATTATCCTATATAAACTATAAATTAAGTGACCATAAAATTTATATTCCAAACTTCACAGAAGCACTCTTGACTGAAACTTTCAGTAAACAGATAACTTGCACCCAACTATAAACCAAGTTTGATGTGAGTAAGAACATAAAAATAAAACATACAAGAACAAATCACTACTTTTAATAGGCCTCCCCAAAATAGAACTTCTAGAAATAGAAAATATGTAATTATTGAAATTAAAAACTCAATGGATAAATTCAACAGCAAATTAGATACAGTGAATAAAATTAATGATCTGGCAAACAGATAAGAGGATATTTTATCTCTCTTTGCAGTATAGAAAAATAAAGATACAGAGAATATCAAAGATAAAAGGAATACAAAAGAATGAAGAGACTCAGTATAGCTGATAGATGTTCCAGAATAAGAGAATGGGTGAACAACAATATTTGAATAAATAATAGCTGACATGTTTCCTAATAGATAAATCCTCAGACACAGGAATCCTAGTAAGTCCTAAGTATGGTAAGTAAAAAGAAATCCACACCTGAATCTGTCATAGAAAAAGCACCTAAGATAAAAAGATCTTAGAAGTATCCAGAGAGAAAATACAGAACTAGAGTTTATGTATTTTTAATATAAATGTTATTACATGTTAGATATTATTCTCCAATTTCTCTTTTTTCCCTGTAAGTATATCTTGAATTTCCTTCTATGGCAGGGCCAATAGATTTATCTAGTGCTTTTGAACTCCTGGGTAGTATTTCATGGTGTAGATATAGCATAAATTGTCTAATATTCTGCAATTTGAAGGGGAATGCATTTAGGTCATTTCCAGTTTTGCAATCCTTCAAATAATTTTTAAAGAATTTTCATATCCATGCATCTTTTGAGTGCATGTTGTAGTATTTCTAGATAGGCACCCAGAAGCAGAATTACCCAATATAAAGATATTTTTATGAAGTTAAAAATAAATTTCCAAATTTCTTTTAAGAAGGTTACCAGGTCAAGGTTCCATGAGTGGAATATCTGTTTCTCCTGTATCTTCACCAGAAGGGTTATTAGCAAGTTGTTTGTGAACCAGATGGTCAAGCATGTTGAAGTTATAGTACTTGGGTTCAAATCCCAGCTTTGGCTCTGTGCAAGTTATTAAGCCCTTCTGTGTTTCACTTTTCTCATTTATAAACTATGGACAACTACGTTACCTACCTCAGACAGTTATTGTGACAATTAAGTTAATTAAAGCCTGAAACACCTAGAACACTACCTAAGACACCAAGTATTCAATAAGTGTTCACCACTATTATTATCTTTATTACATTCCCACGTTACTATTGAAAAATAGAACATCTTTTCAGATGCTTGTTTTTGTTTAAATTTCTTCTTCTAAGAAATGGTCAATTGTTACATGAGATTGTTTGCACTACTGAGTATTAGGCTCTCTTTATATAATACAGACACTCATACTTGCATGTTACACGTAGCTTTCTTTATGGTGTTTTCTTATATGGAATTTGCATATTTACATTGTCAAGTTCATCAGTCTTTTTCTTTTACGGATTTGATTTTTGTAGTCCTACTTAAAAACTTGTTTCCTACTTCAGATTATAAAAATATTTTCTTTTATTTTTTTCAAATATTTTTGTAATTTTGTTTTTTTGCATGTGTATCGTCAGTATATCTGGAACTTATTTTTGTTCATGGCATTAGGTATGAATCAAACATTCTATTTCCAAAAGTCATAGCCAGGTGCCCAAGCATCATTAATTGAATAATCTATCCTTTACTGACCAATTTGAACGTCATCTTACCATATATTAAATTCCCATATAAATATTGGTCCCTTTCTAGACTCTCTATCCCGTTTCATTAATCTGTCTATTTCTATGTGAACACTATACTATTTTAATATTTGTCTAGAATATTAAAATTATAATATCCTATATGTTAGAATATAATTAGTTGTTATTTATAAAATATATCAAGTATATAATATTTAATATATTAGTTATATAATTGTATGATATGCTATAATATGTTTTGTATTTGAGCGGACAAAGTCTGACCTCTTTTTTAAAATAATCTTGGCTATGCTTCTATAGTTTCTCCTCTGGTTGAATTTTAGAATCATTTTGTCAAGTTCCATTTTAAAAAATTGGATTTTGGTTGGAGTTATATTTAATATTCTAGATCGATTTAGGAAAGAATTGACATATTTAAAATATTAAATGTCTTCACTTAAAAACTGGTTTCTTCATGCCATTTTTATGTTCTTCAATACAGTTTTATAGTTTTAGTTTATTACAAGTCTTGCATATTTCATATTAATTTTACATCTAAGTCTTTCGTCAGTTTATTCCTATGAGAATAGAATGTTTTTTCTATTACACTTTCTAATTACTTATTACTGGTATATTTGAGAGCTATTAATTTTTGTACCTTGATCCTATTACCTAGTCACTTTACTGAATTATCTTATTCTAACATTTTGCTAATTTTCTTGAATAATTTAGGCAGGTGTTCATGTCTGCAAATAATGGAAGTTTTTGTCTCTTCTTTCCAGTATTTATAGCTCCTAGAGTTTTTGGTGGTTTTTTTTGGTTATATTAGCTAAGACCTCTAATATAATATTAATTCAGAAAGCTTTGTAAAAATACCCATTTCCCAGCCCTATCCCAAGCTGCTGAATCAGAATCTTTAGGGAAAGGGCTCTAAGACTCTGTGTTTATCAAACTTCCTAAATGATTCTCTTAGAGCTACTGCACTGTTGGTAACCACTGATAGAAACATAACAATCTGAATAACTCATTACCTAATTTTATACATTGATTAGATTATCATCTCATTGGAACTAGAAACAAAGACTTATTTGTGTTTCAGTGGATTCATTCATTTATTCATTCACTCAGTGAAGATTTATTGAGCACCTGTTATGTGCCAAAAACTATTTAGGTGCTAGAGACACAGAGATGATCAAGAGTTCAAAGGAGAAATTTGGGGAAAAGAGCCTGTGCCATTTATTCCCCAGAAATCCCTGAGGTTTTGGATTGCTTAGGAGGGCCGGGGCTAGGAGAAGATAAGGGAAACACCTCAGCCACAAAGCTTAAGGGGCAACACGAAACTCAATAACCACGCAGATAACATCATAATGCAATATTTTAAAAAGCCAAAATTAATGCAAAAACAATTCCATGATGAAAAAAATTAACACTTTAAATAAAAAACAGGATCTAACAGGGACATATTGGGGTGAGGTGACTAAGACCTGGCCATGCAAGTACAGGGTCAGAACCAGCCTTTATTTAAAATTTTTAAATTTGGCTCATCATAGATATTTTTGCATTGATTTTGATTTTAAAATATTTTATTGAGATGGTCATCATGGTTACTGAGTTTTTCGTCACCTCTTAGGTATTGCATGCACAGCAAGTGCCTCATTCGTCCCTCTAGTCCCAACCCCGCTGCTTAGACTTGGATTAGCATTTTTATAATGTTACAGACTGTAGGCACTGGGCTAGGGGTTGATGCAGCCAGTGGATGCACGGGGTATGGTGTACTGACTCCTGGAACTCCCTGGACAGTCACGGCAGAGAGAGAGGGGAAGGAACGTTAAAGAGATGGTAATTAGTGCCCCTTTTTCCCCCGGTGTTCTTCTGTGCCCATACATTGGCTTTAAATATGTGCCACCTTTTCTATGTCTGATTGTTCCAAAAGCAAGAGACTGGCAGGGCCAGGAGGGGAAGGGAGCCTTAGTCTGGAGACCGTTGCTAATGCCCGCCTTCATTCACTACAGGAAACAACTTCAAGGAAGAATCCGCAGAGCTGTTCTGCCAAGCTCTGTCGGTAAGAAGCAAGGGCTGGGAGCAGCCAGCACTGTGAGAGATGTCCCTGGGAGCTGGGTGGCTCTGGGCATAGGGAAGTGAGGCCACTTGCTTACTTTAGGGAGCTGGTGAGCGTTGGGACTCTGCTGATCCTATCAAAAACTGAAGCAACTGGTAGGACTGGTTGGACGGTGCTAAATTCTCCCAGCAGTCATCAACCGTTCAACAGAAAATGAACAAGAAATTGTCCTCAGTCTAAGAACACTAGCCTACATAATGTTTGGTGTACGGGAGCCATCAAACTGAGATAAGTGAGGTATTTGCAGTCACATAGAAGACAAAAGTGACCTCTTTCTCCACTGTTTCTTTCATAGGCTAATTACAGAATTAAGACGCTGGATCTCAGTCACAACCAATTCTCTGACAAGGCAGGAGAGTACCTGGGACAGATGCTGGGTGAGTCTGTCAGAGGGAGGGAAGGGACCAGCACAGGAAAGGGACTTGGGGTATGATTGCTGGTCAGAGCTGCATCTCCTGTTCTTTGTTGTTACTGAAAGTTCTGATTAGAAAAGTGATGTAAACAACACTTGAAATACTTTTTAAACGGAGCAAACACCTGAATGTGGGAAGTAAAACTTTAAAATGATTAGAAGAACATGTAGAGAAATAACTTGCTGACTTCAGTGGATTATTAAACACGTACAGTGGGCAGAAACTGTAACAAAAACAATTCATTTACTTGACAACAATAAGTTTAAAACTTGTATAGGATAAAAGACATTATGGGGCAATGATGAAGGCAAGCAACAGATGTGTGCAGCATTTGTATGATATAAAAGATGACTGTTCAGAATATTGAGAAAAGATCCTATTGATCAATTAAGCAGTGATAAATACTCCCACTAAAACAATGATCAAGACATATGGACGTTGACAAAAGAAAGTCACATGCCCAAACTCTTTAGTAATTAGAAAAATGCAAAATAAAACAACAAAAAGCTCTTATAGGCATGTAGATGTATTTAAACCATGTGTCAAGATGAGACCATCCAGGCAAGGAGTGCAGATAGACTTGAGTAAGTGGCCATCACACTGACCCCTGGGTCACTCCAACATTTTAAGGGGTCGCAGTGGAGGCGGAGAAGCTGGAGAGGGAGTGGTGAGTCAAATAGGAGGGAAAGTGAGTTATCAAGGAGCCATGTGAGGGAGTATTTCAAGAAGGGGGAAGTGGTCAGCTAGGTCCAGTACTTCTTAGAGGTCAGGTAAGATGAAGATAGAAAAGTGACTTAGCAACGTGGAAATAATTGGTGGCCTTGACAGGTGCTGTGTTCATAAAGTGGGTGAGTATGGAAACCCAACTGGAATGAGTTGAGTTGAAAATGGGATGCAAAGAAGTGGAAATGGGCACATTAGCCACTCCAGAAGCTCCACTGAGTCAAGGCTGGAACAGAAAGACAGGTGGCTTAGAGTCCAGGAAGGTTTTTAAGGATGGAAAAGGCTGACAGAAAGAAAAGAAGAAGAAATTGATGATGTAGAAGGAGGAGATAATTAGAGGAGCCAAGTCCCTGAAAAGGCTGGAGGCAATGGCATCCAGAACAGAAATGGAGGGGACACCTCCGAGAGCAGGAGGGACTGATCCATCACTGAAAGAGGGAGGAGGCCAAGCGTGGCGTGGGGGCAGGTGGGTTGGCAGAGCGCATGCTGGGAGGGTGAAGCTCCCCTGCCTCACTGCTGCCGTTTTCTCAGTGAAGTAGACTCTCTGTCTTCAGCAGAGAGTCAGGTGCAGGCCGACAGACTCAAAGGGAGGATATAAGTATAAAACAGCATTTAGGAAGGGAGCAGCAAAGTGTAAAAGAATTGTTGGGCAGTTTGAGTCTCCATTTGAAAACTAATTTTTAAACATTTTAAAACTCAATTTTAAAACATAAATTTAAAATGAGACAGACTATCTTCTGTGTGATACGGTTACCATCATAGTATATTTGCAACTTTTAAAAATGTGTATTATACGGGGGAGGATGTAGCTCAGTAGTAGAGGGCATGCCTAGCATGCACAAGGTCCTGGGTTCAATCCCCAGCACCTCCTGTTAAATAATTAAACCAAATTACCTCCTCCCCCCACAAAAAAAATGTGTATTATTATTAAAGCTACCAAGTATCAAATGATTACTCTAGGACAGACATCACGCTAGGCTTTTCACATCCATCCTCACAAAAACCCTTGTACAGGTTAACACGTCCCTTTGACAGATGAGAAAATATAAGTAATCTGCCCAGGGTCACACAGCTAGTAAGTGTTGAGGACAGAATTAAAAATAAAATTAAAATTTTGTGGCCATTTAAGAGATGAAGGCATGCAGTATAATTTAAGTGAGGGGCTTGGCAGAGAAGAGGGAAGAGAAGTAAGAAAAGAATGAAGGAGACAGGGAGGGAGAGAGAATGAAGGCAGGAGAAAAGTTTGTCCTCAAAATAATAGAAGGTGTTGTGCCCTTTACTGGAAGTCTGTCCTGGTGGTTGACGCAAGAGAGACATCAGTACAGAGTGCTCTGTCCACAGAAAGTAAAATAGAATAAGACATTTTTTCTGGGCCTGAGGGTTGGAGGCGATTCCTCCCACTCAGCTAAGAGGGCTTTAGTCTCTCCTTCCAACGGTGTCCTCAGCACATGCGCCCTCCCCAGATAAAAATGACAACAATAACGCGTCTAAATAGGTTGCCTTCCCAACCCTGCGTAGCATGTGGGCCAAAGCAGCTTTAAGTTTAAAAAGAGGTACAATTCCTGTGCAAACTCGACTTCTAGACAAGCCTGAGGCCTCCCCTCTTCCACCTGATTTTGTCCCTGGATGGAAATTCGGGGGCCACCATTTCCCATAGGTCTCCATGGAAAAGACATCATGTGATACAACACGCCAAGCCCCTCACAGTCGCCCTATATAAATACAACCCCTGTTTCCTGTGCTATCTCCATCTTCTTTAATGGTTGTGTAATTTTCCACCAGATGGATATTTATATGCTCCACCTTTCCCCTGTGAGTCTCAAACCTTACGTTTATAGGTGACGCCATGGTAAATGTTTACAAGCACAAAGCTCTTCCCATATCCTGTACTGTCTCCTTAGAAAGAGTCGCAGAGGGTGATATTGCTGTGTGATAAACATATTTCAATAGGAAACTCTCTGGGACCAGATAGTATTTGCAGAATAGACTATACCGTTTGCTGGCCACCTGCAATATATGAGTATTTTACTACATCGTTGCCAGCATTGGGAATCCTTTTGTGATTTTAGGTTTAAATGAGTAACTGACAAATTATTACCTCGGTGTTTTGCTCTGCATGAGGATGGAGCGATCCTTACCCCCAGTGTTGTGGGTGTCTGCCAGCTCTGAGAGTGGGTTCTCTGGGGGTGTGGGGGTTGCTGAGATGACTCCCTCCCTCCCTCAGCCTTCAACATAGGGCTCCAGTCTCTGGATCTGAGCTGGAATCACCTCCACAGCCGGGGAGCAGTGGCCTTGTGCAGTGGCCTCCGGGTAAGGCACTCTGGGAGTGGTGTGTTGAGCGGGGCGAGAACGGCCAGGACCTCCCGTCTGCCACCTTGAACCTCTTCCCTGTAGTCACCGTGGATGAGGGCAGACTGAGCTCTCATCAAGTGATCATCACATTGTTAGTCTACCTCCCACAACTCCTGGATGCACATTATTATTTAGTCTAGATCCTACCTGGGTAAATTCACCCTGCCAGGGTCTAGTTGGCATCTCTGGGGGTCCTTCAAGAGGGCAGTTTAACTAGACGTTAGGAAAGGACCTGAGCCAAAAGGGAATGAGCCTCAAGAGTACTTGAGATTCTGAGCCCAGCTGGGATGGATCTGGAAAGATCTGGTGGATCGCTCTTCTGGGGACCACTGAGCACCCAGTCTGGATGCCAGCAGGGGGTAAAAATCGGGACCCCTTGGCTGGATGGGTTGCAGGCAAGCTTGGTGCCGTTGCTGTCCTCCCCTCTCCCTACAGGTTAACACGGCCCTGAAGAAACTGAATCTCTCTATGAACAGCTTTGGAAACGAGGGGGCTTCAGCCCTAGGGGAGGTCCTCAGACTCAACAACCGCCTGGCCCACCTGGACGTCAGCAGCAACAACATCAGCAACGAAGGGCTCTCCAAGATCAGCAGAGGGCTGGAGGCGAATGAGAGCCTCAGAGTTCTGAAGGTGAGGTTGTTACCTGAGCTGGGCACGGGACGCCTGGTGTTGTGTATGTGTGCGTGCACGTGTGTGTGTGATGTCTGTGCATCCATGTGTGTGTTCATGCATCCGTGTGTGTATATCTGTGTGTGTCTGTGCATCCATATGTGTGTGTGCTCCCACATTTGAGCAGGCATGTATGTGTCTGTGTGTGTTGTGGTTGGGGCAGCAGAACGATGGGGCTGAGTGTTGCTGCAGGGAAAATCTACCTTGTGCTTTACATGTGTGGAAATCCTTGGCCATCTTCCTGCTATAAATCCAGTGTCACCCTCTGCTCTCACCAGGTGCGTGGTCTTCCTTCCTCCCATCTGGATCTCCTCCAGATTCTTTCCACACTGCAGTGGCCAGAGTGTGCGTTTTGAGCATAAACCTGCCTTCCATCCACACCCCAATCTGCTCTCCTCCCACTTAAACCTTCCACAACTGCCATTGCTCAAATCCAGTTCTCTCACCCCATGTACTTCTCCAGCCTCGGTTTACCACCTGCTCTCCTTTGCGCTCCGGCCACGGCCTCAGGGTCTTCTTTCATCCCCTTTCCCACCAAAGCTTTGCCCAAGCTGCTTCCTCCCCCGCTGTTCCCTCCACAGGCCTCAGAGCACAGCTGGAGCAGCGATTCCTCAGGGACATGCCGGGACCTGTAGACCCTGTCCCCCTTCACCCAGAACTCACCTGAGTCTTTCCTTACACTCTCATTTGGGTGACTTTGACTATCTGTCACCATCTATGCGAAAGCTCCATGAGAACAAAGACGTGTTTGGTTTTGCCCGTTATTATTATACTCCTGGTACCCAGAGAGTCCTGGGCGTGTAGTAGATGCCCAATGAATATTAAGTGGATGAATGAATACCTATTTCATTTTTAATTTATCTGCTTATAGAAGCTAATTTATAACATAGAAGCTCTTGGGAAGTTGGGAAACACATGAAAGATGAGGACTTCTGTTAACAAGTCCCCTTTCTGGGGCTCCTAACACAAGCCAGGTCCCATTTCAAGCGATTTGCCTCCTAACTGCCCAATCTTACAAAGCAGGCTCCATTAGCCCCACTTGTCAGATGAGAAAACTGAGGCTGCATGACTTGTTAGGCCATGCAGCTAGCAAGGGGCAGGGAGAGGTCAGCTCTACCTGGCTTTCTACTGCAGCTCCAGCTCCCACAAGATGTGGGGGTGACTCCGAGGGGACCACAGACACAGGAGTGTTGGAAGAAGAATGGGAGGTAGGAACCAGTGACAATGAGCTGGCTTTCAAGAGGACAAGCACCTGAGAGCTGCTGAGGTGACAAGAGAGAGTCAGATTCCAACCAGGGGAGGGAGGGTGGTGACAGCAGACCAGACCAGGTGCCATCTATGATGGGGGAGCAGAGAGTCCGGCCTGGCTGGAAGTGCACCAGGTGTAACTCAGAGAAGAGGGACTGACCCAACCTGCAAAGGGTTCAGCCTCAGTGTCCAATGAAGCCAAGGAAAGTTCAGAGAATCTGAATCTTAAAAAGGCTAACAACCTGCCTCAGCAAAATGGCATCAGGGGTTGTCTCTGGTTAGCGAGATACAGGCGATTTTAACATTTTTCCCTACCTCTTTTTAAATTTTTCTGCATTTACCACATACTTTATCTTCATCTTAATATATTTTAGCTTTTAAAAATGTTTTAAAGATGAAAGGAAAAAAGCTTAAAATGTAACTCTTAGTTGGACCAGAAGTGGAAGACTTAATCAATTTGCCACTGGAATTATCTCTTGTTCACAGCCAGCCCCACCCAGCCCTCCTTTCCCTGACCTTGGAAAAATAAGGAATTCTCTCCAGAAATGAGTCAAACAAGAGTCTAGTTGCTAAGCCCTTTGAGGGCAGGGCTCCAGGCTGATTTTTCTCACTGGAGTATGTCAGAGTCTGGGAAATGCCAGAAACATACTAGATATTCAATAAAGGTTCAGCCTGCCTCGTCAGGAAACCATCAGCGGAGAGCCTTCAGTAGTAACAACTCACATTCACTGGCTGCTTACTATGCGCCGTGTTCTGTCTCTTTTAATGGAGGTACTGGGGATTGAACCCAGGACCTCGTGCACGCTAAGCATGCGCTCTAGCACTGAGCTATTTCCCTCCCTTTGCCATGCTCTCTTTTGAATGCTTTGCTTGATGTCATTTATTGACTCTGCAGAGCAGCCCTCAGCAATAGGTACATGGTGGTCAGGGAATTAACTCAAGGCCAGAAAGCTGGTAAGCAGAGCCCCTGGGCTGCGTGCTCCCTGCTGTTTGCCTCTACACCACATCTCAGTGGCTCCCAGTGCCGTTGGGATAATGTCCTGAGTACTTAGCTAAACCCTCAGGGTCCTGTGTGATCCCACCCATCACAGCCTGTGGCCTTGCTCTCTCTGCATCTGCTCATGAAACATTTCCTTTTGCTCAAACACCTCTGCACCTTTGCACTTACCCACCCGGGTCGTCTTTGGTTCATCTTATTCCCTCCTCTGGTCCTGCCCACCTTCTGCATACCTAACTAATCCCCATTAGTCCTGCAAGGCTTAGCTCAAGTGTCCCCTCCACCATATGGGATGCCCCTTTCCCCTTGCTCCTCCAGTACCAGTGGGTACCTCTGTCACTGCCATCATCGCCCTCTGATGTCATTTGCTTGTTTGTCTGTGTCCCTGTCTAGAGTGTAAGCTGAGGGCAGAGATCTTGTCATGTCTGCCTGTGCTTCCCTCAGTGCTTAACCCAGTGACTGGCACATGGCAGGCCCAAGAGATGTTATTTTGGATGGATGCATGCATGGATGAGCAGTGAGATGGACAAGTGGATGGATGACTGGACAAACAGACAGACAGGGAGATGGGTGCTTACAGAGAAGTGTGGGAGGAAGACAGAGACTGTGATTTGGTGGGAAGAAATGTAAGTGGTGCTCTGAGCCAGCCTCTCCTGTCCCCATCTCTGCCTGCTCCTGTCTCGCCCCTCCTTCCACAGCTTTTCCTGAACCCTATAAGTATGGATGGGGCTGTTTTACTGATCCTGTCCATCAAGAAGAACCCCAAATCCAAGATGGAAGACATTGACATTTCCGTAAGTGATCAAATGGTAGTCACTCACACCAGGTGGCAAGCCAGTTACCACGGCCGCGGTGTCTTGGGTGCCAATAGCTCTAGCCCTCAGGGCCCTCATACAAATGCTCCAAGAAAAGATCATTCCTTTTGGAATAGAGCTCTGCCCCCTCCAGGGGTCCTTTCTGTAGGAGTAGCCATTTGGTCAATAACATCACAGTGTGAAACGATTTACCAGATTCTGGGACCCAGGATCTGTGCCCCCGGAGAGGGCCTGAGGGCAGAGAGGAGGAGTATCAGAAATAAAGGCAGAGGGTCCCCAGAGCAGAGTTGTCTACTGTCAGCTTTGCCAGTGGATGGCTTTGAATCTTAGAATGCTTCCAGAACCACAGGATTTTTAGTCAGAGTATTAAAACACGTACAAACTTGTGTTTCCATGTCATGACTCAGCCTACTCTACCCAGAGTAGCATTTGAGGGTAAAACAAAAAACTGTGATGGAGGAGGGGAGCCTGAGATGATGACTTCACTCCACCAGGTGCTCTTGCCTGAATCATCCTAGAGCTGGTGCTCACAGTATCCTCTGCTCATCTACTATTCTATACTCTTTTTTTAAATTCCAAAGCAATTTTATAGATGCCAGCTCATTCGATCCTACTCCGGGGGGTAGGTAGAGTGTATTTGTGACCTAGGACCACCAGAGCAAAGTACACAAACCAGGGGGCTTTAATGATAGAAATGTATTGTTTCCCAGTTCTGGAAGCGAGAAGTCCAAGGCCAAGGTATTGGTAGGGGTGGTTCCTCCAGAGGACTGTGAGGAAAAATGTGTTCCATGCTCCTATCCCCACTTCTGGTAGTCTGCTGGCAATCTTTGCTGTTCAGTCTTTTGCTCTGCCTATAGAAACATCACCCTAATTTCTGCCTTCAGCCTCAGATGGCATTCTCCCTGTGTACATGTCTATGTCTGTGTCCATATGTCCCCTTTTTATAAGACCACCACTCATATCCGATTGGGGTGAATGTCTCCGTTTTAACTTGATCATCAGCAAAGACCCTGTTTCCCAATCGTCACAATCACAGGTACTGGGGGGTTAGGACTTCAGCATCTTTTGTGTGGGGGGGGATAAAATTGAACCCATAACAAGTACTTTTCCTCATTTTCCCATTTTACATGTAAGGAGACTGAAACAGAGAGGTTAGGTCACTTGCCCAGGACCACAAAGCAAGTGAGAAACACAGCAAGGAGTAGACCCAGGGCTTCTTCCTTCTACTGTAGCGTTCTGTAAAGGTACAGTGTTAAAGTCCTTTTACATTTGTTTAATGCCACACAGATATAATGTTTGGTTAAGATTTTAATACCTTACAGTTCCATCAGTGATGATATTTTGAATTTGAGACCCAAGCTTCTTGGAATTTAATAAGTAAAATGTGGGCTTATATTTGCCACAGATCATAAAACATTGTAACAACATACCTGCTTTTCTTTTCAGTGTGTTCCCTCACCCCTTTCTCCTTGCCCTAGTCTCCTTCTTGTGTTCGTGGGTCTTCCCCTCCGAGCCCCTCTCCCCACCCTCATCCTGTAGCCATGACCTGCACCCCGTGATGCTGCCTTTGCCCCCACCCCGCCCTGCCTCTGAGTCTCAGCCACAGGTCCAGATTTTGTTAGCACTCAGTTTTCCCCCACCTGTAGTGCAGGTTGGAAGGTATGAACCCCAGCACCACCTTGGGGTGTCTGAAGGGGTGTTAGCAATGGTGCTGTTTAGCCCCAAGACGTCATAGAAAGCCCTGAACTGGGCTCACCCTGCCACTCAACCAGCCTACCAGAGCAAATAGGTCTGAATGGGCGTTTTCCTTCCCTCTTGTTAACAATGCCACCAGAACTCTAAGTGGTGTTGGAATCCCTCCCTTGTAGATGCTTCTAGAACTTTCTCTAGAATATCTACAAAGGAGAGGGAGGAAGTCTTCAGCCTTTAAGCATGAGTTCAGTGCTTTGAAAAGGCAAAATGTTCTCAGAACCCCATCTGAGGAAGGAAGCAGGTCGATCACACTGATGGAGGCCAAGTTTGATCAAATGCAATTACACAGGACACGTGTTCTCCTGCAGCCTCTGCACCAGCTCTGAGGGCACTTCCACGAAGTGGGGGGGGGGGGTCCCAGTGCCTTTTGAGCTGTGACAGGTTTGCTGGAATGAGGGATGCTCTGCCCAGGCCCCTGCTCTGAAGACAGCACTGGTGCAGAAACAGGTTTCCATGCCTTTGTCTGGGGACCATTCTCACAACCCCACAGCAGTGTCCCATCTGTCACACCCAGACACCTATGCTTGACCTCCAAGAGCAGAGCTGAGCTGACAGTATGTGACAGGCCACCAGCGCCCAACTAGAACATCCAGTCAAAGTCACATGGGAAACTTACAAGTCAAACCACAAGCTCCAAAAAAGATGAACCATCCCCGTCTAGATGCAGCCAGCAGAACAAACTAGAAAAGACAGCACACAGACTTTGTTGGGGGAGGAGCTGCTGGTCTGGGAGGTGGCACCATGGCAGTGCCCTCCCCCTGACAGGTCCCTTCTCTCTCTGCTTCAGAACGTGCTGGTGTCTGAGCAGTTCGTGAAAATATTGGATGGAGTGTGCGCCGTCCACCCCCAACTGGACGTGATATACAAGGCAGTGCAAGGCCTCTCCACCAAGAAAACCCTCTTCACCTGGACGAGTCCCTTGAAACTGATCCAGGTGAGCCCTGCTTTCCTCTCAGAGCCCCCAGAGACCCCTGCAGAAAGCTGACCTTTGGCTCAGCTTTCCAGAGCCTCCCCTCCCCTGAGGGCGTCTGCACAAGCCTCTCTGGCAAGGAACGTCTCAGACGTGGAACGTTCCCTACGTCTGCCGGATCCCTCAGCAGTGCTTCCTGGCTGCCAGATGAAGCAGAAGGGGCTTGGAACAGGGTGGTTTCTACCATCCAGGCTCCTCCACTTGCTGCTGTTTGACCAAAGTGCCCTGTGCCTCAGTCTCCTCATCCGTAAAATGGGCATAATAATAGCACCCACCCCAACAGGGCTGCTGTGAAGATTAAAGTGTATAATATACGTGACGGGCTCAGAACAATGCCTGGCATATAATAAGCACACAATTAATGCAGGCTCTTTCTGATAGCTGGTAAGGATGCCAAGATGTCCTGACCTTATGCTGGCTTCAGCTAAAGAGGAACCCTCAAGTCTTCTATTCCAGTGGTCGTCTGACTCTGGCTCGAGTCTCAGATTATGTCTGGCTGCCACAGGAGGCAGATGTAACAGTGGAAATAAAAACTCAGAGGATATTAGAGCTGGAAGAGGAGCGTTGGAGCTCCCCTGGTCTGATGGCCTCGCAGAGCAGCGACCAGCCCAGGCCTGGTGTTTGGAGCAGGTGGCGGGCATGCCGCAGGGCGCAAATAGGTTAGACCTGGGGCAGCAGGGATAGTTCCCTGCAAATGCAGGCTCTGCTGGGTATGTGCCCCCAGGCTGCTTCCTGCCCCTGGTTGTTCTGCTCTGTGCCTTCATTTCCAGAACTAAATAGAAGAGCTCTTGCATGAAAGTTATCATTGTATGACAAGTTCTAGAAGGCAAAGCGGCATCAAATATGTTACCAGTAAGATGACATCAGGTGGAAACAAGGGGAAACCTGTTTTGCAAGAAGAGCAGGAATGGAGTTATCTGATGCAAAGCGAGGGCCTCGCCCCCTTGTTTTAAAACAGTAGAGGAGAGGTATCGCAGAGGAGAGACCCAGCAGTAGTACAGTGTAAACCAGAGTCCTTCCTCTCTGGCACCCAACAATCTGCTTGGGAAGATGGCACAGATGCAGTAATTTCTAATAGAAAGTGTCAGATGAGAAATAATAAACAAGTGACAAAGGTAGCAAATGCAATCCAAAATAGAGGTCACGGCAGGACTGGGCACAGAAAAGGGTGCTTCCTGGCAGAGGTGGGGTTGGGCAAGGGCCCTGAAGAGCAGAAGGGATTCAGGTGAGAGGTCCTGGGAAGAGGATTCCCGCTGGCCAAGAAGCAGAGTGGGGGTCGCATGCTGTGCGTCTGGGGGATGGGAACCGAACCTCGTGGCTCCCGTCTCACAGGGACACCTGGGAGTTAAGGCTGCAGGGGGAGGCTGGGGATGGATGTGGCAGTCCTCGGGTTTTAAGCTGAGAGTGGGCTTTGATTCCACAGGGAGTAGGGAGCCAGTGAGTGTTGCTGAGCAGGGGGTATGGGGTGAATCCAGTAGGACAGAGGGATGATTTTTCTGGCAACAGGTGGGGAAATGAACTGACAGAGGTAAATATGAGAGTGGGGAAAACCAATGAGAACACGATTGTAGTATTCTCCATACAGAAGGATAACTTGGCTGAGAATGACAATGGAGGTGGAGGGGCAGACGTAGGAGATATCTTTACGGAGCATCTCCAGTGAGTGTGTGTGTATGTGAGTATGTGTGTGTGTGTGCGCGCTGGGAGAAGGGAGGTCTGTGGGGAAAGGAGACAGCCAACGACAACCCGTAGTCTTTAAAGAGATGGTAACATTGCCAGCTAGGGAACTCCGGTGGGGAAAGGGGCCACCCCTCGCCCTGCCCCCCTCTCTGGCCTCATCTCTCCTGTTCTCCCCCTTCATCTGCCACATTTCCTTCTGCTGGATCTCTCCCTGTTCCTTTTTGCATCAGTTCTCTCTTACCTTTAACTCCAGATCCCTCCACCTGGAACAGCCTTCCTCCTGCCCTCTGTGTCTCACTCACTCCTCCTACTGTCTAGGTCTGCCCTCAGGAGTCACTTTTTCTTCGGGCAGCCCTTCCCACATTCCCTGGTCAGGAGTAAATGCCCTCAGCACGTGCTCCTGCAGCCCTTTGCCTCAGCCTCTCGCCACAGGACCCTGAACTACTTCAGGGCGGGAGCTACGTTGAGGCTTATCAGTAGCACCTACTGAAGTAATGGGCCCTTGTCCAAGTCAAGGTTCTTAGTTGCTGACCACAGAATCTACTCTACCTTGGTTGAGCCAGGAGGGATATATCACTGGAGATAGACCACAGAAACATTAGGAGGCTGAAGAAACAGACTCTAGGTTTAGAGTCCAGAAATGGCTCCCCAAACACCCCAGTTGGGTTGCCAGGATGGCTGCTGCTTCTGCCTCGATTGGGAATCACCCACTGAATCAAGAAGTCACCCCTACAGCTGCCGGCAGCCTGCTCTCTCCAAATCAGATGGGCCACATGCATGCCTCACCCACGGGCTTGGCGAAACCCATCCCATTGCAACCCCAGCTTTGGTTGGGAAATGCTGATTTTTAGTTTTCAGGCCTCTGTGTTACAGAGAGGTGTGGTATGAAGGAACGGGACTGGGTGTCGAGGGCTCAGCCACGCTCTCGGCCACAGCCCTCAGTGGCAGTTTGCAGAATTCAGCTGATTGAGGTTCACTCTGGACGTGCTGCTTTGTGGTACGGATGGGGTGTCAGCATGGACTTGGGAGCAGCTGTTAAGGAGGCAGCACTGGAAATGAAGGTTTGCAATTCACCCAGGAGTGAGGGGTGGGGTAGGCAGTGCACAGCAGAGAGGGAAATGGGGGGACAGAAGAGCAGGGGCCAGGCACTGACCCCTGAGGAGGTCCTCTGTGAGCAGGGGTGTCCACAGAAACATCTATCAATACAGCTGGGCCTTGCCCGTGGCCATTTGAGAGTGGGAGGAGAAGAGAAACAGAAAGATACTGAAAAGGGGCCCAAAAGATTATTTAATAATATTGGAAAGGAGTTCAGAATATATGAATACAGTGCATTTTATAAAACAGTGTGTACAGGAGAAAGATTGCTAGAGAGACAGGTAAATGGAAAAACACACAAGGTGTTACCTCTGGGTGGTGGGACTGGATTCATGGGTTGGGGTTATTTTTCATTTTCTCCTTTCTACTAATTCAAAACTACCTTACAATGTGAGTAGGTAAAATTTTTGAGACAAAAGCAATCAAATATTATTTTTAAAATATTCAAACACAGTGCATCTCCATATAAGAATGTGTGTAAAACAGGGGCAATTCTACGAATTCTGGGAGACTCTCCTGCTGGTCACGCTGCATCGCTGTGTTTTGGTCTTTTGGTCTCTGAGCTAACAGCATCCCACCCACACCCACAGAGCACCGTCTCTGCTTGTCTTAGTGGAGGCAGCTTCAAAGCCAAACACTACATTGCAACATGATCCACGCGGTGGGAGTGTCTACTCCAGTCCTCCAAGGAGCGAATGGAGGGAGGACAGGGAGGGTCTGCTCAGTGCGGGTGGGGGCAAACACATAGGAACCATCCCGGCGTGAGGTTCTGCCAAGACTCGGTCTGCACAGAGTGCTCACAGATGGAGACCCTGTTCCAGCTCCTGAGTCTGCCTCCTCACACGCACCCCCCATCTCCCCTTAGCCTGGGAGGTCTGGGAGCTCGCTGCCCTTTGTCAGGATGAGGGGGTGGGGGTTGTTACAGATGTTACAAGGCCGCCTATTTGCTCCTGGTGTCTCCTGCTTCTCTCAGAGCTACGCAGACCAACACAAAATCTCCATCCTGGACTTCTTCAGGAGTCTGAACCCTAGTGGAGAGACGATGATGTCTGTGGGCGCCTTCCGGAAAGCTATGATACAGGTGCGCTGGTTCCCAGGCTGCAGGCACTGCGT